CTGGTTACCCTCCTTCTTTAAGCTTGAGTGACGAATTTGTATGCAGCCAGAAAAGATTGGTGGAACTCATATTCCAGTTTTAATTTCTGCATTCATATTATCCGCGTGTATATTGATCACGTTTAGGTAAAAAAGCGTGGACATACTTGATTATGAATATAATACACTGTGGTGAAAATATCCCAGTGGCTCTTGTGCGAAAGGAGCCGTGATCACGGTTGTTCATTCCTTTTTTCAGTAACCATATACAAAGCAATATAATTTTGCCTTGTTGGATGATAAGGCACAGACAAAGCACTACGGTTTTCCCATATAGTAAACGAGTTATCTCGATAAAATAAGATCATTCCCATTGAAGCGTATTTACAATACTGGTGGGGTATTGTAAATTTACTCAATATCTTTGATTATCAGCTTGAGTCAGTCGATATCTCTATGCCTCAATAGTTTGCTTGCAATTCCAGGCGAAATTGGATGGGAGAATATTTCTCAAACAGTGAGAGCCAGAACAGCTTTCGCCCACATGCGACTGTTTGGACGTAGTTGCGACATCCAGCCTTCCTCTTCCGATGGGTCAAATGTGTGTTGACTGTAACTGTTCGCCGTCTACCTTTACATGCACTAATAAAGTGTTGGTGACTCTAGAACGAGCGACACAGTGGGAATACCGTGTTATCAAAAAGCTGCCATCAAAATAACTTCGGTTGGTGTTTTTCTACTTTTCCGTTTCCATCCAAGAGACGATACTGGTCCTTGGCTAGCGATGTTGAAAGATACTGCTCCTGAGTTGAGTCATTAGCGTGAAGGTTTTTCGTATTGTTCTCGTCACATTCTCTCTCGATAAACAAGGAACAAATTGACATCAAGAGCTTACTGTGGAAAAATAAAAAATCCATCGTTTTCATCCCAACCCTCCATATTCTCTCTGCTGTAAATTGTCATTCCACTGCCTGCTGTTGTGTTGGAATTAGGCCTTGACTCTGTGGCGCCAACCTCGATCTGATTTCATGTTATTTGTCACGGATATAGATATAAAGACAATAAGTGATTCAACGCATTTTGTATCCGGCTCCAACCCAGTATCCGAAAATCCGTTCATGAGAAGTAAAAACGATAGTTTATAAGGTTGAAATGAGAAGATTTACTTGTAACTCCGATTTTTTCGGATGGAAGTAATATGATGGGCCGTCAAAGACACTTTGACAAAACGATACGAATAGTTGTGATGATGAACAGCCGCAACAATTCACGGTAATGAGAATGAAGTCTGTAACTGACACCAACATTCAATCGCATTCGTAATATACCGGGTTCGTTAGGGCTTGAAAATGAAGAAATCTGACAGATGCAATCACTTGTTTTACGGTACAACACACACGTTCGAGATAAATGGGTTCGAGTTCAAATCGTAAATGTGGTGAAGGATATGCGCCGGTGATGTGCTCTAACAAGAGCGAAACTCAAGTTTGTTGCGTGGTTGGTCGGATGAGTATAAATTCTGGCGAGAAATGTGGAGTCCAAAGAATAGTCATTCAGATAAGAATATTTTGAAGAAATTCTGTGGGTCTTATGTGTGTAATCGTCAGCAGGGTGGCAGCCTGTGCTTCCAGTCTTCTTTTGTGATGATCATGTACAATCAGTTGACAAATTCGAGTTCGTTGAGGGCTAGACAACAGCTGAAGGTGGTGTTGAGAAGGAGATCAATTAACGAGTGACGGGAGCTAGAGTAGCTTTCGTAAAATTGTGACACGTGCTGCCTCGCCATGACTACCTTCTGTCTCTTAAGAGATGAGTATCCGTGACCCAGATCTGTTTTTCATTTACTGTGCGGCCACGAGACTGAACAATGACCAGGTGCACCGGCGTGTGTTGAACAGGAATATCCGCCATCTTGACGAAATGATCGCTGTACACTTTATCCGGTGGATCAGGCACGTCGTCTACCTTTTCATGCTCCATTTGCGCGTGCTGGGAAGAGTGGAAGAATAGACGTGGCCGTTGGGCCATGATATGACTTGGAAGTAGAAAGTTGCTAGCATCAGTATTGGAACCACGCACTAACTAAAGCCTCCAGGCTGATCCGACACAGCCCTTTCGGTTGAGTCTATCAGGTAGCGTGGAGGAGTGTGCACACTAATTACCGAGAAAACTACCAGTTGATTGCTCAAAACACAATAATGGACATATAGATTGACAGTGAAACCGACTACATCAGATATACCAAACACAATTTGGTTAAAGAAAGCGTATGAACCAGGTGGTTACATCCTCCAACTAAACAGTAACAGTCTCCGAATCACCAGACAAATATCATACGAATAAGCACTATTGTAATTGTTCATTTCGATGACTTCTCCACGTGGCGCTTTTTGTCAATTTTAGTGCTGGGTGGGTAATTGGAGTGAAGATCCCGTAGCAGCGGCGCTCTGAGTTTGAAGGCGTACTGGGCTTCCTGAATGACATTGCGGTTAGGCCGGAGTACGTTGACGGGCCTTCGAAAGATTTTCAAAGGTAGATTACGGGCCGTGCCGGACGCGGCCAAGAGGCTCTTGGAAGATGGAGTGTGCTGTTGTTCAGGATGCCCTATTCGCGGGATTCGACACTCCAACCGACTGTCAGGAGGTGATGCTGTAATCCCAAACAGCCCACCGGGGAGTTGTTTTGCGTTGTCGCCTCCTTTTGCTCCTGGACTATGCGTTGTCCACGCTAGACACAGTCTCACGCAGTCAGCTGTTGCGAATCGCTTTGTGGGCAGCTAGCCGGAACCCATGTAAGACTGCATACATATCGTCCGTGTCAGTCGGAAAATGGATATTTTGCAGTTTGCGGAGGCCTCCAGTGGACTACCCGATCTGGACACGGCGAAGACCAATGGGGCTGAGGTAAAGTATTCTAAATCGGAGAATGATTGTATTAGGGTTATATCACAGATAAATTTTCAAAAGACGGAGGAACTAGCGACTGAAGGAAAACCGAATCAAACACGGGGTTCTAACTGTGGAAATGGGGGCTTTTTTAACGCCAGTGCCGATAATGTCAACAGCGAAATGCAATAAATGATGATGTGAACTCCTACTTACATTGTTCTCAAATGTAGATGGTTATCGGGGTCAGAGGATACATTTGCAGGACGGCGCGAAGGATGATTCGAATCAAGGATAGAACTTTGATGCATGAGTTCATAATATCACGCGACACAAACCAAACAATATATGGAAGCCGATCCGTAGCGGGCACTGAATGCGGTGATCGACGTTAAAGAATATCGGAGGAATGCGAAGTTTATTTCGGTACCAATAGTTTGCCCACCATCGAAGCAGGTGTATGGGTCCAGTGTAAATGAAAAATGTATCAATGTGAATCCGGTGTTTTACTCGGCCATGAAAGAATTCGTTGAACTGTTTACGATGGATGAAGACCCAAACATTCTTTGTGACTGGGGAGAACAAGAATGTCCATGGCTTTTCAGCCATGTGGACCTCGTTGCATTCCTGTCCATCTGGAGGATGAAATAAAATGACAGGGAAAGGAGTTGTTAGAAGGAGTAGTTGTCAGAGAAGAGCGTTACCCGTGCAACTTGCTTGTACTGCTGGTAAAATAATTTCGATGGGAAATTTCTATTTTTATTTGATTCTCGACGTGGAAACGATAATACGATACACAAGCTGAAGCCAGCGACTTCAGTAGCAGAGATATTCGATGAATTGCAAGCACCCACTTCACTTTCGGTGATTATTCTGCGTTTGGCATTTCGGCAAGTTCCAATAAAGAAAGTGATCAAGATAGCACAGCATTTACCGTCAGGGACGAGCAAAACCGCATACTGAGGATGCCATATGGATCAGCAGAGGCGCTGTTTACATTTCGCTTCGTAATGCTTAAATTGTTAGCGGGGCTAACAAACGCTGCGATCTACAGAGTCGGTAATGTGATCTGCAGTCAAACGCAGAATGAACATTCTATGAATCTGGAGAGGTTACATTTTCTTGCACTACTTATTGTCGTGAAATACTGTCGTTGTATCAACAATATGTGGGGTTTGGGAAATCCACCATAAGAAATATAATCAATAAATAATGCTCCGAATACACATGTGCTGACGTGTTAGGATTGTTAGTTGTGTTTTGTGGTTTTATAATTTTTGGCTCAGGACACACGATTGTGTATGGGGAAGATAATTGGTCGATACCAATTTACATGTTCCTCAGTGTGCAGTATATTCGTAGCAAACGTTACCCAACTGCATAAAATCTTCCAAAATCTGCATTATTTTTTCTGATTATGCAGTTCAAATCAATAATTCATCATTGCTGCTCACGACTCGACAGTAGATCGTCTTTCGAGTTCACGGGTGTATATTCAATCCGAAGTACCAAATGAGAACAGATTCCCAATGAAAACCTCTTTGTTGATTTCTTCGGTGTACGATTTCAATGACTGGAAATACAGGTAACACTTCAAGACGACTTTAGGGGAAAAGAAATCACATGATCCATGTTCTTATTCTTCGCTCATGTAAACGGATCGGAAAAACCATGAAATGATACTCATCATAGAAGTCAACTGTTCGAATGAGTTCTGGTTTGGAGTTCTAATGGAAAGTTCCTAACAATAGCACACAAAATAAATAATAACGAAGAAGGTTTTAGTGAGTTACGCGAAAATGCTGACAAAAATAGCCCACGATCATCAGGGAACTGCAAGTTTCGACAATGACATGTGATGCAATAGGCGTACTCAAACGAATAACCTTTCTGGCATATAGTGAAAAAAACGAGAGGTGTTCAAATTTAGAAGCTTGGTACTTGTGTATTTGAGATCAGTTTACTTTGAGAGTCAATTAACATTGGGGTGTTTGTGATCGATGGAACTCAAAGATATATGAAAAAAAACAGTGAATAGTACCAGCAACAGTCCTCGATTACCCGACCAGTTACGGTTCAACAAGGAGTATGCGAACTCTCGCTGGTTTACTTCTGCTGGTCTTTTGTTTGCGTGGAATGAGTAAGTATCACTATCGTTATGACCATGCGATGAATTACCAATTCTTTTGCAAATTGATTCGTGGTAAAGGAGTAAATTGGTCTCAACATGATTGGATAATTTTGAAATGTAACAGATGATTCAGCTTGTGATTAGTATTTTGAAAATAACTAGAGAGGGTGAACGTGGAAGTGAATCCATGACGGTTAGTGATTCAAACATGCCTAGTATAAAGGTAAGTAGTGATGATAGTATTGGGAGCTCCTTGAATATATGCGGCGGGCAACCGTAAAGCACAGTACGTTTAGGAAGCAAAATGTACGTCAGCTGGAACACGTAGTTAAATCAGAATAGCTGCTACCAATAGAAACAGTGGTAAGCAATTACCATCAAGGACGAGTTGTATCCTAGTAGCATGCATACTTTGCTACACAAAATGATTTGCCTGCTTGATAGGACCAACTATGGCAGAACATGCATAGAAAACATCACTCGCAAATGAAAATATGCAACTTAATATGGGTACTCGGTTGTCACTGCATTGTTATCAACTCAACAGATATGCAGGTCAGTTCAACCGATGGAATCGACACAAGTATGACCGAAGATCCAAATGGATCCCGTACAACTGAGTCCACAGGTGAGCGCACATTTACCGCGTATCCTTTTATTCATCACTCTGACAATCTAGGTGCATGCTCTACTGCACATATCCTTCAACATATTCTGAACAAATTCTAACCAACTCCTAAACTTAGGAGATCCTGGTACACAAAATATTGCAGCGTGCATGTCTGCACATATAAACGCATTATCAATGATAACTACAATTTTCAGCCCAGCTTCATTCGATCCAATCGTATATGATGTGATACTGAATGACAAAGTCCAAATTGGAACTCGAGCACTTATATCTGTAAAAAAGAATCTAGGGAAAATATATGTGCACATCTGTTCCATTTTTTCCATTATATTTCGTTCAATTGGCCTAGGGAATATCGCTCTATTCAAAGATTTTCATGGTTCAATAACAGATGAAGGAATATTGGGTCACACGAATCAGCTTATCTTATATCATGAAGCTACATTCTTCTGAACACGGACTGGTAGGATGAGGCTGCACATACTTTGGAGCCCATTGCCGGTACTTTAAACACATTTGGATAAATGTATTTGTGTATTAGTGCAGACACAACCACCGACCACTCATTGTGGAATCGCGAAAGAAACCACGGATCATATTCGATCTAAGCTGAACCGATATGATCAAATATGAATGGATATGGATGATATCACCCAATGTGATCATATATTATCAGATTTGAGGTAAATAGTACTTTCGATATAGCTGGTAGACAAAGACGCATGCAAGATTCCCCACTTTGATTTGGCACTCATTTCGTTCATCGGTTGATTTGGTATATTGATGGTCAATTTTCAAGTAAAAATATCGCAATCGAAATGGATATGTTTGCAAATTGAATGCACCAATAACCATCTTCTCTCCATTTCCCCCATCTAAACAGCTATGCAGAACACTCCAGACACCACTGTCAGCTCAACGACGCAAGTACCTGTACAAAGTAAGTGCACCTTTTCTAACTATATATATATGTTTGTTTATATGACTCCTACGTATCATTTGGACTAGGTATATCATCACATATCAGTATACATGTACGACAATAAAGCACAAAAAGGGCAAATACATCGATGGCATGGTACCTACGAGATGTACACGTTTATCGTTATTCACCAATGAATTTCCATTTCGTTTGATTCGATTAAATTCAATTCGTTTGTCAATGTTGCTACACTTCCCCGTTTTCATCGCACAACACAGTAATCGTGGGTATACTGTGATCGATATTCAGCCCAGTATCTATCACATAATTATACACTTGTCGTTGTGGACTGACAAGATCAAACTGTGCTAGATTTGCCTTTTAAAGGCTGTGATTCAAGCTAGTTGCACATTCTCTGTGTAATTGTTCTGATTGTATAGTATCCTCAAATATTCTCATTTTCTTTCGGTGGTTGACTCAGGATTTAACATGTCCATCGGTTGTTTTCCAACGAGGAGTTTATAGTGGTAACACTTTGAGCAGTTTTACGGAATTTCTATCTGATCACATCAAACAACGAAAACTGAAGTACAGGAAAAAACATATGCAGTTGTTGAGTTGCATTTAGGTAAATTTGGATGGAACCGTGCAAGGCTGGAGGGTGGGTGTGGGTGCTGATAATTACTCTGTATACTCAAATTGATATTTTTTATATTCTGAGAAGCATTATTTTATGCCACAATTTTACTAACGTGATAGGGCGAAAACAGTGGTAGACAATTTCTAGGTATGAAATTTATTCTCATTCTAGTACACTTCTGCGTATACTGCCACCGAAGGATTATCTGATACTTTATCGAATACATTTCCTGACACGCTGTTGATAACCTCTCAGAATTTTTGTCAGAATTTTAAACTTCTTTTCGCCACCTTATTATCTAATGTCCTAGGTATTGCAGTGTTCTTTAAAATCTGAGATTATGTACGCCGGTCTATTCACCATTGAACGTCTCTATCTAATGTTCCCGAATTCGTCAGTCACAGATGAAAGCGATCTGTGTCTCGATATATATATCCGTCTTCAATCCACCACCACTAAGCAATTTCTTAGAGGTTAGTCACCAAATATTATTTTGTTTTTTACAGCTCAATGGAAAGAGAACATACTTAGGCGATTAAAAAGCGTGTCGGCCAGGTTATTCGGAATAAACACTGAACCGTTCGAGAAAGAGCTACATATATACATATATATATATATATATATATATATATATATATATATATATATATATATATATATATATATAAAGTGACGCCGTGAACGTAGCTGAACAGATACGACTGTTCACGTATAGACGTTATTAAATTTTTTCATGGTGATGTGGAGTATCTCATGCAAAACAAGAAAATCTTTAGTTAGGAATTTCTCAAAGAGAGGGTAACAAAGTTCTGAGACCAGAGCACTACTACATAAATATAAATGATAATGTTATTTTAGAAAGTGGAACTATAAGATGAGAGACTGATACACAGTTCATGATTCTACATGCGAAGGATAAGCCATATATTTGCCATACCGATTCAGAATGATTGTGTGACCAGACCGCTGTTTCGTTTCCTTCGTGGACCTCATTCTGCATAATGGAAGCATCTTGAATTTTGATTCTGCCCAAAGATTCTTACATGAATTGTATCGAACAAGTGCTTCGGTGGTTAAACAGAGGTATTCTGAAGGTAAGAAGTGTAAACCATTGTGGTATTTCAAGGGGGCTGTTACACTGGAAATCCTTATTTTCATAGCATGTTAGGAGCTTACAATACAGTCGATGAAACGCGACTAAAAACGTAAAATTCTTCGAAATGTTTGATCTCGGCATTTATGTAGAAGATGAATGTTAATTTACGAAACAGTTGAAACGATAGCGAAATCCGTTTTCTCGGTTTTACAAGGGCTCGAAATAAATAATTCCCTCTATATGCATCGCCTCATCCCCAGCTTTTGTAGAAGTTCACCCATTCGATCGTATCGGAAGCACCAAACTCGAGTTTTGATTTTGTCAGATTAGTGTCATTTGAACCGGGTACATGTAGCTCAGTGCATTCAAGTTCAGAACGAATTTATTTAAGTTAGTTCCGTTCAGTTCAGATCGGAGTACGTCAAATGTGATCAGCTGTACGAAAACAACCGAAGCGATCCGTATTGTGTGCATGCACGTGCGTGCGTGCGTGCTTCATTGCAAATCTACAATCATGAACTAACTTGAACAAACTTGTATGATATTATCAGACCAATGAGAAGGGAATGAGTTGAGATCGGGTCAGATAGATCAGTGGTATATTTCACGCTTGACACATCAACGTTTTCTCGTTGACAGAAATGAGATTATATAAGCAGATCAATGCCAGTAGTGGTCTAATGATTTAGATAGCTTGATTCCCCATCGGAGGTTGGGGGTTTGAATCGGCGGCATCACCAGCTACCATGGTAGTCGTCTAGGTCGTTACCACACCTGACCTGTCGGAACTCATGTGGTTATGAAGTCCAGAACTCAAGATCTGGTTACTGGTTATCCCCAATAGTGAAGTGGATCGTTGTTGCTCAAGCAATGAATATTCGAACGAAGTTTATAAGGAGATTGGTGTGGGGGTGATGATGCCATTTGCACCATCAGAAAACAGAGTTCTGCAAAAGCTTCACATAATAAAACATGCATATTCAAAGCGCCGATTGAGGTTCGCTCGTGGGCTACTGCTGGAACAATAAAGTGTCGCATGTGACATCACGGGATGATGAAATCGACTTCACGATATGGAGAACTCACCTTCACGATGTGATGAGTTTGATGTCATGATATGACGAACGTGAGTGGTAAAAGCACTAAACCAACGATCAGTTATCTAATGATTTTGTGTTCACAAACTATTGAGATGAAACTTGGAAAACGTTTTGGTATATTGGGATGATTCCGTATTCCACATTCAAGCTAGGGGCATACAGCTTAATAACGCTTTAGGCAATTTTCAAAACTCCATTATAAAACCTTTTTACACAAAACATATAGTACTTTAAATCACCTATCTTGAAATCAGTGAACAGAGAAGTTTACTGTTGTCAAACAAGTAAAACGCGGAAAATCTAATGAAAATGAGGAAGCCGATATGTTTTGCATCCTTTTGTAATGAGCCAGTCTCCTGAAGCAGAATTCTCATTCCATATTGTATCAATTTACCAAAGTGGTGGTGAACGAACAACTCGTTGAACAAAACGAGGTAAAGGCAAGCCATGTGCACCAGCAACAAAAGTAAGTCATTACGTAGAGGGAAAAACGGTGGATTCGTGGGAAGCAGCTTCGAATTTTCCAATGATTTCTCATTTCACAATTTGCAAAATGATAGAATTCACTGTACCATTCGATAATCGTTTGTAAATTGAGAATTAGAAACAAGTATTTAGATTAGAAGTAGCACAGTTGCTTTGTGAAACCTTGTCTATGTGATCAATTCAAGGATGTTTTTGTTGTTCACTTATCAAACCGATCTACTTAGAGATCGAAGTTGACCTCGTTTTGATCGGCGTGGCAGCAAGGTAATGGCTTTAGGATTGTAAATGAAACTGAGCTTGCATACGTTATCATTATAAGAAAGCCAACTACGCAGCTGAACTGGCTGTTTTGTTTGAATCTCCACGAGCATTGCTTTTACGTGTGAAAGGTAAAGTGACTGATTCAGCAGACTCGACCTTTGTTTATTTATTCGCTTGTTTCTGTGGAAAAACCTACATCTGCCGCACGACCAGGTCTTTGTCTGAACACATCCGCGAACATCACCCTGCATGGGAAAACATTGGAGCAGTAAAGTCACTCACTAGTGCTGTCATTTCACACCTTGCTCAGAGTAATCACACATCAAAAGTGACTGGATCTTTCTGTTTCCTGAATAAGGTTCAGGGTTGGCGATCAAGACCAGCAAAATGTCGCATACTGGCTACAACTGAGGCTTTCGGGGTCTGCCTCCACAATCCTCTTCTGTGTGATCAAAAACAATGTGCATACTCTTTGTGAGGAAACGGACCCAACCAATTGCTAGTACAGGGCCTGGTTCAGTGGAGCAGACAGCACGTGATTGGCTGACCAGAAACACCAAGAATAGCAGAGACATTATGGTGATCAATGGACCGATCGGCGGTTAATGGTGGTCTGAACCGACCAGAGCCGAATCGACCAATGCTTTACCATGTCGTAACATATCGTGATGTTTAGGCATCAGTATGCATCACTGAAACCGAGCTTGTTCACCAAACCGTGTTCTCCAAATGTGTTCATTAGGAATATTCTGACAACCACCTGGATTTTCAAACATTTTCCCCATTCCCGTCTTAACCACTTTTGTATTCCGACTACCCTAAGGATTCCACTCAGTGCTAAATGGTATGGTCATTCGAATGTGATATTCGGTTGTGCGGATCAATCATTTATGCGCCCAATAGAACGTCTACACTGTTCACCGTGTGTATACCAAATAATTATCCAAGACACATTTTTGTGGCCTCACTTAAAACCTACGGTCGTGCCATCAAGCATTCTTCGGGCTTCCCCGAAATACACCATTTCCGTTACCATTATAGTACTCTTATCTTCTGATTTCTTCAAATGGCATGCATTCCGGCATCCGTATATCCATTTATTGTCTCTGGAACCCTGCTGTTTTAGCAAAGAAGAACAAGCACCTCGTACTGAACATCCCTCTCGACAGACATTGATCGGGCGTGGATCGTATACATTTATGTTCGGCTTTGTAGATCCGGGAGAATGAATTCTTTTTTCGAGCCTTATTAAACAGGATGAACCGAAACAGCATCCCAGCTATCTGTCGATCACGAGAACTCTAGTGCTTTCTCCGATAAATGAGCTTGAGCATTACAACCTGGAACCTGTTATCATAAGCAACACGTTCATCAAAACGTGCACCTAAACTGTGTCTATTGCGAAGAGCAATACATAATATATATAATATACACTCAGTTATTAGGATCTCACTCGGACCACTTTCGTATCATGAGAGCCCCTAGACAATGCATTTGTGAACCAAGTCATAATTGATAACACGAAAGAAGTTGGATTGAAGGGCTAACGAGTTGAATGACGTAAGGATGCGGCTAATAACTTCGGTCACGAGTCGAGCGGCGGGAATCGGGATCCACAGGTATGATTTTATGGCCTGAGGGGTAAATAATATGGAGCGGGAAACGATGAGAGAGGGCTCGAAAGAACGAGTGTCATGTTGGCCGTCGCACTAAGGTTAGCCTGGTTTGGCGTGATATAACGACACTCATATAAGGGGTGCCAATAAAGATGATGATTGTCAGAAGCGAATGCAGTTTCAATGCTCAATCACCACCCTAGATATAGTGGGGAGATCCTTTTCGAAATGGCGAATTTCGATAATGTTCTCTTCTTCAGGAGAACGTTTCATAGGAATGGCAAAGCGACGAAGAATGATGAACATAACAAACGGATTGAGAAAAAACCACTTGCCAATTGTGTGTTTGGGGATGGAGGGAAACGTTCCGGTTTGATGTACACAGACAACTAACAAGAAGTGTTAAAGGGTTATCGTTGTTTTATTTCTCGCATTTTGCGAAGAAATAATGATGGCAATGAAGCAATCTCACTCACTTACAAATATGAAAGAAAAGTGCAGTAATCAGAAGATGCGAATTAGAGAGTCATGTTTACCGGTGAGTCGGGTGTGGCTCAAAACGTCCCCGTTCATGCGGAAGAGCCGTGTGATTGTGAATGAGCTGCTCTGTCATAATAACGCAAGTGAGAAAATATTTATGTCAAAAATATTCTCAAAATTCGAGTGAATAGTTGAAGAGTGCATTTGTGTAATATCATTGACATCGCAGCTTGAACGCTCAACTGACCATTGAAAAGCATGGAAGCACTGTACAGCTGTTTCATCCTTGTTGGGAATGATCAGCACTGCACATCGACCGAGATTGCACGGGGACTCAAATAACAAATGAACCATTGTGAATCGAACACCTCAAACACAAGGCTATCCGGGCTGGCACTCAACGGTTTGTTCAACATCTACACTACATGATATAGCACCCTTCCCAAACTGGCTTCCCATATGAACGGTAACAACCAGCTTCCCGCACAGCGATCGACTCCCATGATGGATGGCTTCTCTGTAAGGGCCTAAGTACAACCAACGCATTCCAGTATGAACAACGTACACAGATTCGTTACTATTTGCAATTGAGTAGTAGGAGATTAGATTTGTATAATATGATTGATCATGCAGCTTGAACGCTCAACTGACCATTGAAAAGCATGGAAGCACTGTACAGCTGTTTCATCCTTGTTGGGAATGATCAGCAACGCACATGGACGGAGGTTGCACGAGGACTCCATCAACACGTGAACCATTGTGAATCGAACACCTCAAACACAAGGCTATCCGAATTGGTTCTCAACGGTTTGTTCAACATCTACACTACATGATATAGCACCCTTCCCAAACTGGCTTCCCATATGAACGGTAACAACCAGCTTCCCGCACAGCGATCGACTCCCATGATGGATGGCTTCTCTGTAGGGGCCTAAGTACAACCAACGCATTCCAGTATGAACAACGTACACAGATTCGTTACTATTTGCAATTGAGTAGTAGGAGATTAGATTTGTATAATATGATTGATCATGCAGCTTGAACGCTCAACTGACCATTGAAAAGCATGGAAGCACTGTTCAGCTGTTTCATCCTTGTTGGGAATGATCAGCAATGCACATGGACCGAGCTTGCACGGGGACACCAACAACACGTGAACCATTGTGAATCGAACACCTCAAACACAAGGCTATCCGAAGTGGTTCTCAACGGTTTGTTCAACATCTACACTACATGATATAGCACCCTTCCCAAACTGGATTCCCATATGAACGGTAACAACCAGCTTCCCGCACAGCGATCGACCCCCATGATGGATGGCTTCTCTGTAGGGTCCTAAGTACAACCAACGCATTCCAGTATGAACAACGTACACAGATTCGTTACTATTTGCAATTGAGTAGTAGGAGATTAGATTTGTATAATATGATTGATCATGCAGCTTGAACGCTCAACTGACCATTGAAAAGCATGGAAGCACTGTACAGCTGTTTCATCCTTGTTGGGAATGATCAGCAATGCACATGGACCGAGGTTGCACGAGGACTCCAACAACACGTGAACCATTGGGAATCGAACACCTCAAATACAAGACAATGCGAATGGGCGCTCAATGGTTTGTTCAACATCTACACTACATTATATAGCACCCTTCCCAAACTGGCTTCCCATATGAACGGTAACAACCAGCTTCCCGCACAGCGATCGACTCCCATGATGGATGGCTTCTCTGTAGGGGCCTAAGTACAACCAACGCATTCCAGTATGAACAACGTACACAGATTCGTTACTATTTGCAATTGAGTAGTAGGAGATTAGATTTGTATAATATGATTGATCATGCAGCTTGAACGCTCAACTGACCATTGAAAAGCATGGAAGCACTGTACAGCTGTTTCATCCTTGTTGGGAATGATCAGCAACGCACATGGACGGAGGTTGCACGAGGACTCCATCAACACGTGAACCATTGTGAATCGAACACCTCAAACACAAGGCTATCCGAATTGGTTCTCAACGGTTTGTTCAACATCTACACTACATGATATAGCACCCTTCCCAAACTGGCTTCCCATATGAACGGTAACAACCAGGTTCCCGCACAGCGATCGACTCCCATGATGGATGGCTTCTCTGTAGGGGCCTAAGTACAACCAATGCATTCCAGTATGAACAACGTACACAGATTCGTTACTATTTGCAATTGAGTAGTAGGAGATTAGATTTGTATAATATGATTGATCATGCAGCTTGAACGCTCAACTGACCATTGAAAAGCATGGAAGCACTGTACAGCTGTTTCATCCTTGTTGGGAATGATCAGCAATGCACATGGACCGAGCTTGCACGGGGACACCAACAACACGTGAACCATTGTGAATCGAACACCTCAAACACAAGGCTATCCGAAGTGGTTCTCAACGGTTTGTTCAACATCTACACTACATGATATAGCACCCTTCCCAAACTGGATTCCCATATGAACGGTAACAACCAGCTTCCCGCACAGCGATCGACCCCCATGATGGATGGCTTCTCTGTAGGGGCCTAAGTACAACCAACGCATTCCAGTATGAACAACGTACACAGATTCGTTACTATTTGCAATTGAGTAGTAGGAGATCAGATTTGTATAATAGGATTGATCATGCCGAATGAACGCTCAACTGACCATTGAAAAGCATGGAAGCACTGTACAGCTGTTTCATCCTTGTTGGGAATGATCAGCAATGCACATGGACCGAGCTTGCACGGCAACTCCAACAACACGTGAACCATTGTGAATCGAACACCTCAAACACAAGGCTATCCGAATTGGTTCTCAACGGTTTGTTCAACATCTACACTACATGATATAGAACCCTTCCCAAACTGGCTTCCCATATGAACGGTAACAACCAGGTTCCCGCACAGCGATCGACTCCCATGATGGATGGCTTCTCTGTAGGGGCCTAAGTACAACCAACGCATTCCAGTATGAACAACGTACACAGATTCGTTACTATTTGCAATTGAGTAGTAGGAGATTAGATTTGTATAATATGATTGATCATGCAGCTTGAACGCTCAACTGACCATTGAAAAGCATGGAAGCACTGTTCAGCTGTTTCATCCTTGTTGGGAATGATCAGCAATGCACATGGACCGAGCTTGCACGGGGACACCAACAACACGTGAACCATTGTGAATCGAACACCTCAAACACAAGGCTATCCGAAGTGGTTCTCAACGGTTTGTTCAACATCTACACTACATGATATAGCACCCTTCCCAAACTGGATTCCCAAATGAACGGTAACAACCAGCTTCCCGCACAGCGATCGACCCCCATGATGGATGGCTTCTCTGTAGGGTCCTAAGTACAACCAATGCATTCCAGTATGAACAACGTACACAGATTCGTTACTATTTGCAATTGAGTAGTAGGAGATTAGATTTGTATAATATGATTGATCATGCAGCTTGAACGCTCAACTGACCATTGAAAAGCATGGAAGCACTGTACAGCTGTTTCATCCTTGTTGGGAATGATCAGCAATGCACATGGACCGAGGTTGCACGAGGACTCCAACAACACGTGAACCATTGGGAATCGAACACCTCAAATACAAGACAATGCGAATGGGCGCTCAATGGTTTGTTCAACATCTACACTACATGATATAGCACCCTTCCCAAACTGGCTTCCCATATGAACGGTAACAACCAGCTTCCCGCACAGCGATCGACTCCCATGATGGATGGCTTCTCTGTAGGGGCCTAAGTACAACCAACGCATTCCAGTATGAACAACGTACACAGATTCGTTACTATTTGCAATTGAGTAGTAGGAGATTAGATTTGTATAATATGATTGATCATGCAGCTTGAACGCTCAACTGACCATTGAAAAGCATGGAAGCACTGTACAGCTGTTTCATCCTTGTTGGGAATGATCAGCAATGCACATGGACCGAGGTTGCACGAGGACTCCAACAATACGTTAACCATTGGGAATCGAACACCTCAAATCAAGACAATGCGAATGGGCGCTCAATGGTTTGTTCAACATCTACACTACATGATATAGCACCCTTCCCAAACTGGCTTCCCATATGAACGGTAACAACCAGCTTCCCGCACAGCGATCGACTCCCATGATGGATGGCTTCTCTGTAGGGGCCTAAGTACAACCAACGCATTCCAGTATGAACAACGTACACAGATTCGTTACTATTTGCAATTGAGTAGTAGGAGATTAGATTTGTATAATATGATTGATCATGCAGCTTGAACGCTCAACTGACCATTGAAAAGCATGGAAGCACTGTACAGCTGTTTCATCCTTGTTGGGAATGATCAGCAACGCACATGGACGGTGGTTGCACGAGGACTCCATCAACACGTGAACCATTGTGAATCGAACACCTCAAACACAAGGCTATCCGAATTGGTTCTCAACGGTTTGTTCAACATCTACACTACATGATATAGCACCCTTCCCAAACTGGCTTCCCATATGAACGGTAACAACCAGGTTCCCGCACAGCGATCGACTCCCATGATGGATGGCTTCTCTGTAGGGGCCTAAGTACAACCAATGCATTCCAGTATGAACAACGTACACAGATTCGTTACTATTTGCAATTGAGTAGTAGGAGATTAGATTTGTATAATATGATTGATCATGCAGCTTGAACGCTCAACTGACCATTGAAAAGCATGGAAGCACTGTTCAGCTGTTTCATCCTTGTTGGGAATGATCAGCAATGCACATGGACCGAGCTTGCACGAGGACTCCAACAACACGTGAACCATTGTGAATCGAACACCTCAAACACAAGGCTATCCGAATTGGTTCTCAACGGTTTGTTCAACATCTACACTACATGATATAGAACCCTTCCCAAACTGGCTTCCCATATGAACGGTAA